TTATGATTGAGAAAAACGAGAAAAAATATACCATGTCAACTTTAACATAAAAAGGCAAACGACCTCTACATGCAACTTTCATTTTTTTTCATCACACAATTTCTAAAGCAATCACTTTTCATTCAAATTTTATTTTATTAAATATTCAATTTTATAATTAAAAGAAAATATTATCAGGTCATCATATAATTAACTAAAAGTTCTCTCTAAAAATTATAAGTGGATTTTGTATAACAAAAATTGCAATGACAAAATTATATATAGATCACATTTAAACAAACTATTTAATTATATATCATAAGAATAATTCAAAAATTTAAATTTCAATTAAAATATGGGATGATAATGCGTAAAAAATTATTTTAAAATCATATATTAAAAATTTAAAAATGGCCAATAACAAAGATAAATATTTTATCAAGATAATAGATAAATAAATACATTTAATTAAAATAGTAATTTCTTTCGATACAACGGTAACTTTGAAACTAATTTATTATTTAGTCTATATTTGAAAGAATTTGTAGTAAGTTACTTTTTGGAGTATCAGACATATATAGGTAAATGTACAGAAAAAAATTATCTCCCTTGATTAGATATGTATCCTGCAGTTGAACTTTATGGTATAATGGAAAAGGGAAAGAAAAAAAAGGGGTGGGGGTGAGAAAATTAATGGAGGGTACAATGCATACCCCTCTTTCCCTAACTGCATAATTGTTATCTACGTGTATGATATGATGTTGCTTTGTCCAGTATTATTTTACCGTATATGATATGATTTGATGTGTTTCTCACCAATTATTGTGCCACTAATGCATGAGATGATTGCCAACCAACATTGTCTCCTTCAATCACAAAAATGAAGCTGTCTTCGGTTCACATTATATATAATTGAAATGGTACTTCTTGTGCGCCTTTATATTTAATTTGTAACTTATGATCTCTCATATGAAGTTTCCTAATCCAAACAAAGGGAGAGTGCCTTAGTGGCTAGTGGCCAAGCTTCACTTAGGTATAGAAAAATACCATTAATAATTATAGTGATAATACTAAATTATTAATTCTTGTGATCAATACGTACTACGATTTTCCAAGACTTTGATAGTTCTAAACTTTTGCTGAATGAGCCCAAATTTTAGTTAAAACAGATTTGTCCCTTAATTGTATGTTGCTAACACAATTGGCATAATTAAGTCTTGCCCTGTACGTAACTGATAGTTTGTTCTTTGAGAGTTCTAAAGGTTTGCTTTATGACCTAATTATTAAACAAGCTCTTTCCTTATACGTGGCTAATTGTAAGGATAATTAAGTGCTGCCTTGAAAATTCTGGCTGTCTCGTCGTTCATGGACAAGATAGTTCGTTTGTTTAATTTTAATTAGGGTACTATGAACATAAGCTGAACCACTATCAAAATTTATCTTTAAACCTGTATATAATTATATAAACAAGTTTATATACATCTTGTAAATATATTTGAAGGAAAAAAAAGGGTTTAGGCTTTGTGGCACAAGAGTTTGAATTAAACTTTGCGTGGCATAGGAGAAAATTTTCAGTGATTCCTTTGAAAAATTTGAGACATAAATATAAATATAAATATAAATATAAATGAAAGAAAGAAATAAAATAAAATAACTTTTTTATATTTTTTTTAAAAAATACTCAATTATTGATGGTCTTAAATCAAAATTTTATTTTTATTTTTGCGTCGAGAAGCACATAAAAAGCCAAATTAACTTCTCATGATATGTATAAAAAGTGATTGAGTACATTTGAGTTTCCACGTGAGACTGCCTCTCAAAAAGTTATTTAGTCTAATCAGTACCCTTTGATAAGCCCCGACTATAATGGCTCAAAGTTCAAATCATGTCCTGAGCATAGAGAAACATGCACCCCTCCCCCAACTCAACCCTTATTACCACAACATTACCAACCCTAAGCCTACGTACTCGTGACTTGCTTTCCTTTGAGGAACATGAACCCTGTTTCTCCTGCAAAACTTGACTCGGGCCTTTGTGCATGTCCCATCGCTTAGCATGTGAACTGGCTAATAGCTAATTTGACTCAAAAACAAATATTACAGTCATTAACCACTATATATATATGATGTGACCCGAATACGACATCTCTGCACCTTTTTATTTTCCTAAACTTTCACACTTAATCATAAGTGTACAGGGCTTACAGATAAAGAGAACAATCTGTTGAGATATATAGTCCCATATTGGTTGTATGTGCACAATTAATGTGGAGTTTATAAGGCCTTTGGGCACTCTCACCCTTTGAGCTAGCTTTTGGGGTGGTGTATCACAAGGTTCTTAACACAAAGCTAGCTCAAAGGGTGAGAGTGCCCAAAGCAAAGCTAGCTCAAAGGGTGAGAGTGCCCAAAGCCTTATAAATTCCACATTAGTTGTGCACATACCACCAATGTGGGACTATATATCTCAACACAATCAATTTCATCATGTATATATTCTTAAACATTTCATGATCTCTATCCTAAGTAAATTTGTATAGACTAATTCAAGCCTTGATTTTGGCAATACAACTTAGAAAAAGAAAAAAATAATAAATATTAAATAATTACGATTACGACTGGGTCTTAAATGTCAAAGAGATTTTCTTTTGGGCTTAATTAAGCCCAATTATAAACATGAGGCTCTCGGCCTGGCTTTGTAAATCCCAAGAAATCCAGATCGAGGGCCCATCGGAAGACAGTAAATAAATCGCACGTGGCTTTTATCAGAAGATAATTGATTGTCTTGAGATTAGCATTAACATTTGCTTCAGCCGAAAGATGAAAATATAAGACTAAGATTGGCAATATGTACTTAATTGGGGTAGTTCGTAAAAATCCTTTTGAGAAAAAAATATTTTTGAAAGAGTGTTTCACATTCTAAATGATATAAATTTATGTTATTTCAATTGAAATTACTGTGTTTTGATAATTTTTTTACCTTCTCTTTTCTCTATAACATCTTCATTTTCTCTCTCCTTCTAATTTTGTGGAGGAGAAAAATATATAAATCATTAATTATGCATTAGTTTCACTTAAAATGACACAACCTTGAATTTTTTTAAATGATAAATATTTTTTTCATAATCAATTTCAGAAAATTTACTTTTAGAAGAATGAAATTTTCATTTGCAAATGTTCACTTAAAAGTACTTTTGTACGAATGAATTTGGTGTGTTTGGATATTATGTAGATTTACATTTGATTAAAATCTAATTTGAAAGAATTTTTAAAGAAATTAATTTCAAAAGATTATTGTCTGAAAATAATTATCAAAACTGGTCTTGTATTGATAGGTGTTGTTTAAAAGGTGAGTAAAATTAATAAAATAAAAAAAATAATACCTTGTGTTTTGTGTATACTAATAAGTATCCCTGAGCATTTGTACAGGTATTTTTAAATACAGGTGAAATTTAAAAAATATAAAAAAAGCATGTAGAAAATTAGTTTAATTGATAAAATATTGTTTTACTGGTAATAAAAAATTAATCGAAATTAAAAATTACAAGTATTTGAAACTTTTACTTTTTAAAATTTTCAAAATTAATTTAATTGGTGATCTGTAAATAAATCATTGTGCTTAATGTTGATTGAAGAAATCTGAGCATTAATTACATAAATAAATAAAAAGTAAAAATATTCTTCTAATGAATAATCAATAAAATAGAAAAATATTGACTTAATTTGGTAAGGAAGTTCAAAAGACATATATCACAAAATGAGGAAGACATGTGATTACGTAAGAAAAATAATACGTATAAAGGTTATTCTAATCTTAAGAATGAAGACTCAGTAGATAGATTAACTTTAAAGGAAATGTGAAAAAAAACATGACATGGTCATGTAAGAAGATCACAATCATACAAAAGTAAATCAACGGTTATGATTTTGTAACTACCTATTTTAATATATTTTCTCTCTCCTCCTTTATTACCATTGATCTACCTTTGTATGATTATGATTTCCCACATGATATGGTCATGTGATTTTTCACATTATAGGATCCAGATCCAACTTTAAAGATAAGTAAATTTATTATTCTTGAAGGATTGCAGAATCTCTACTCTAATGAGTTAGGTAGCAAGTGTGTTTTGTTTCCTGGGCTAGACCAAAATTGTGTTTTGCCACAATATATTCTGCGAGTACTTGTCAAACATGTTTTGTAACAATACAACATTCATTTCGGAGTCACAATTAATTGAGAAAAAAAAATCCTTTAAAGTGTTTGTTCATGAAGTGCATTAAATAAAAATGTATCTACCATTTATTTTTTTCCCCGAATATATCGTGATCTTAGTTAATTATAATTTTTTAAACAGCACTATGACTCCTATCAAAGTTTGTATGTTCCTATCGAAGTTTGTGTAAATGTTTTGATAATAAATAAATAAAAAAGTGAGAGAGAGAATTCATGAATCAAACACAAAAGCTTAAAAAAATATCTTCGAAAAGCTTTTCCCAAACATCATTTTACTCTCAAAATTAGTTAGTTGAATATTAGAATAGGGATTAACGTTTATTCTGGAATAGAAAATAAAGTTATATCATGCAATCTCAAAATAACTATGCATCTGCTTGAATGGTTCAGACATGCATGTTCAACAATGAGACCCAACGAATTTGGGTTGAACTCAAGTCATATAATATGAGTAACAGTGGGGAACTAGTATCAGGAAATCAGTTTCTAGATTACTGCATTGCTCCATTACAAGACAAAGCAAGACAATGAACAAGTGATGTAGATTAGAATTTAACTATGCATAGTAGATGTACCAAAATAATATATTTGACTATAAGTACACAACTCCCTGCAAAATTGAACAAAGCTTCAAAAACAAGAAGCTTCCGCAACCATGTTGTCGCACATCTAAAACACGAAGCCCTAAGTTATGCGAATAAAGTGAATAAAGGAGAATTGTAATTTCAAACCACATGCGTAATTTGACACAATAAAGATAAGGAAATAATTTCAGAATATCCACAACACTCTGAACAACACTTAGAAAACAAAACGAAATAACAAGTTTGGTGTACAATATAAATTTGCAAAGAAAAAGTTTAATATCCAAAAAATCTTATGGCACGAAAAAGAGTGTAAATTTGTGCGTAAAATTTTGTTAATACAATGTGTTGGCACTTAAGAACGGAGCAACATAGCTTCAGAATAATCCAAATGAAGCCTTAGAGACTTCATTCACAAAATGAGTAGTACATAAAAAAAGATAGCACTGGCATTCTTGAATAAGCAACCAACATACAAGTTGACCTAACTGTAAAGATCATCTTCATCAGCTCCACCAGCAGCTGCAAATGGGTCAGATGCAGCACCACCACCAGAGTTGGAATCTGCAAACCTAAACTCAGTACCAAACCCTCTTGACTGCTGCAATGTTTGGGCAAATGCCTGGTACTTGCGAATGTCAGCATCGCTTACACTCCTTCGTGCATATTTCATTGATTCCTCAAAATGAGCTGCCTTGATTTCTGCTACCTCATCCTCAATATCCTCTTCCATGGCCTCAGGGTTATCTCTTCTCCTCCTTTCTCTCTCAATATCCTGCCAAGAGAATTTGGGAAAGAACAAATTCTTAAAATGAATCTGACAGGCTCATAGCTTATTTCTGGTATCTATCAGAATCCAATTTTTACAATTAATTTTTTATAGTTGTCAGGGACTTAGTAAATGGAATATAGAGAAAAAGGTGCCCAGAAGTGTACCTTCTCAATGTTCTCTCTTATGGCATACTTGCATGCACGCTGGCAAATCTCAGTAATATCAGCACCACTAAAACCTTGAGTGTACTTTGCAAGAGCTCTAATGTCAACATCCTTTGAGATCGGGGATTTTCTTAAGCAAGCTTTAAATATCTGATGGCGTGAATCCTCATCTGGGAGGGGGATATAAATCAACTGGTCTAGACGGCCTGGACGCAGAAGAGCTGGGTCAATAATGTCAGGTCGATTAGTGGCCCCAATGATGAACACAGTTTTCTTTGCTGACATCCCATCCATTTCTGTAAGCAGTTGGTTCAAAACCCTGTCAGCAGCACCGCCAGCATCTCCTACACTACTACCTCTCTGAAAGATAAAGCAAAGCAAACATTTGAAGACAGGTAACCACAAAAGATAATAATAGTTGTCTAGGCACACTACTCTCTATTCAAATTTTTTTTTTTTTTTTTGGAAAACTCTATTCAAAATATTTAGAATGAATACAGTCATAAATATTTCATAAACAAATAAGCTGCCCAAAGACAAAAATCATAGCCTAGTAACCTTTGATTGGTACAAACCTGAGTTGCAATAGAGTCAAGTTCATCAAAGAATAGGACACATGGAGCTGAACCACGAGCCTTGTCAAAAATTTCCCTCACGTTAGCCTCACTTTCTCCAAACCACATAGTGAGTAGCTCAGGACCTTTGACACTGATGAAGTTTGCTTGACATTCATTGGCAATAGCTTTTGCCAAAAGTGTTTTACCACACCCAGGAGGACCATAGAAAAGAACCCCTTTTGAAGGAGACATTCCAAACTTCTCAAATTTTTCAGGGTGTTCCACTGGATATTGAACAGTCTGCAAAAGAGAACAGTATTGAAATCCAGAAGCGAATGAAAGGAAACTATTGCATCAACGTGACTCAGTGTAAAAGATGCAGTTACCTCTTGGAGTTCCCTCTTAACATTTTCAAGACCACCAATATCTTCCCAGCTGACATTGGGAACTTCGACAACCTGGTTCAGCAGCAATGTTGAAGTTAGAGATACATCAAACTTTGCAAGGTGCAGTCAGAAAAGGTTCACCAAGAGAGTGAGAACAAGAGAACAGGAATATTAAATTGATGAAAGAAACTTCTAAAATTTCTCAATAAAATACTTACTGTTTCACGGAGAGCAGAAGGATTGCTTGATCCAAGAGCAGTATGGAAATGCTCATTTGTCACTGCCATGGAGTTCAATATCTCAGCATCAATTGACTCATCTTCCAAGTCAATCACATCCATTTTTTCTCTGATGCATTGAAGTGCAGCTTCAGTACACAAAGCCGCAAGATCAGCACCAACATATCCATGTGTGTCCTTTGCAATCCTTTCTAAATCAACCTGCAAGTGAGACAATGAACGAATTCTCTTTTAGAATTCAAAGCATTTAAATAAAATCATAACTTAAGAGGGAAATGCATTTCAATATTACATCTTCAGCGAGCTTCATATTTTTTGTATGAATTCGAAGAACCTCAAGACGCCCGACTTCATCTGGAACACCAATATCTATCTCACGATCAAACCTTCCAAACCTTCTAAGGGCAGGGTCAATGCTATTGGGGCGATTTGTGGCTCCCATAACAATTACATGGGCACGCGATTTAAGCCCATCCATGAGGGTCAATAGCTGAGAAACAATCCTCCTCTCAACTTCACCATGAGTCTTCTCCCGCTTTGGAGCTATTGAATCTATCTCATCGATGAAGATGATGGATGGTGCATTCTTCTCTGCTTCCTCAAATGCCTTCCTCAGATTGCTTTCACTCTCACCAGCCAGTTTTGACATGATCTCAGGGCCATTGATGCAGAAAAAGAAGGCACCAGTTTCATTTGCAACTGCTCGAGCAATCAAAGTCTTACCAGACCCAGGGGGTCCATACAGCAGAATTCCTTTTGGTGGCTTAACACCAATAGACTTGAATAACTGTGGGTGCCTCAGCGGCAGTTCCACTAGTTCCCGAATCTGTGCCATCTGCTTTCTGACACCACCAACATCATCATAACCAACCTCATCTAATCGATTCTCATCCTCCCTTTTAACAGGCTCTCCTTCACAGAAGATCTCTGTGTCTGGGGCAACAACACAGTACTCAGAAGGTTCAGTTTCAATAACCTTGAATTCTACACTTCTCATCCCCCCTCTCACAAGGAAGAAGTCACCCTTTCTCACTGGCCGATATGCCTCCAGAAAATAAGCTGCACAAGTAAAGCTGGACTTAGGATTCAAAATAAATTAGAATGCAACAAGCTTAAACGTCGATGAGTGGAGTGGATGCCAACATAAATAACAGCAGAGGTTAAACTATGCCATTTTGCGATCTAACTTCAATAACTTGCTAGTAATAGTTCTTAGAGAAACCAATGCTCAGTGTGACAATATAAAATCACCCTCAATATTTTGTTAAAGAGAAGAGAATACTTCATCCACGTAGTAAGCATGGACAATATACAAAATCTCAAGATTTACAATCATCTATTATGTATATAAATGAATTCATTATTAACCATTATATTGAACTCCCCATGACACAAAGAAGCCACTATATAAGGATCATTGTTGTCAGTGATTGGGATCATGATAATTCCTTCTCAGCAACCAATTATTTATTGATGTTTAACAGTGGAACTCGAGTAATGTTTCAGAAAGCAAAACAGTAACAGTCTCTTAAATAAAAAAGGGTATTCTCTTGAAAGACAATTCAGTTATTACTGTAAAAGATAAGCATTGCATAAAAACAGATGTTATCACCAAAAGATAAAAACATGTTATCACAAGATATCATAAGTTGTACAACTACTCTTCATTTTTCAAGCCTTCCCTAATCATAGAAGAAAGCCGCAGATGACTAAAGACAATTACCAATGTCTAAGATAGATATAAAATTAATAAGAAAGCAAAATAAAAAAACCATTACACGATCCATCAAAACAAAACGAAGTGGTTACTCACGTTTTAAGTAGGCATCGAAGAGATTCCCAGTTACCCCTTCAATAGTGTCATCCACAGGAAGAATGTGGACTCGCTTTCCATATTTGACATCAGCACATTGATGCACGGAGACAACATCTCCAAGCCTAACCCTAAGGTTGTTTCTGACAACCTTGTTCATTCTTATTTTTGGTTGCTCACAGGTGTCATCAGCAAGTGCAATACAGACTGTATCTTTTCTTTTCTTTCCCTATAAGACCAAAAACAGCAAAGAAACGTAAGGATCACTCAAACTTCCACTAAAAAAAAACATTACAGAGAACATAATAGCACAAATTACTCAGTACAGAATAAAAAAAATACCAAAGGTATTTGCATAGGAGTTACTAGATAGCAGCAAATCAAAACATATAGCACAGAATGTTATCTCTTTCAACTCACTCCGAATACAAAATACACCACTTATGCAGTTATGCCACATCATTGAAAGTAAAGGGAATCTTAAGGTTACACACAAGATCACAAAATTAGGTGCTTCTACGAATGAATTCACATACTGTTGAATAACGAGAGAGAAGAGAGGAACATTGAAAATAATATTGTGTATATTGATATGAAGAAGCATTTACAATATATAGACACTCTAATGGGCTAAGCCCAAACCTAATACAAAAGAAATAAGGAAACCCTAATTACATAAGAAATAGGGAAACCCTAATTACATAAGAAATAAGGAAACCCTAATTATACAATATATTTCTAACACTCCCCCTCAAGCTGGAGCGTATAGGTCATATGCACCAAGCTTGTTACATATAAATTCTATTTGAGGGCTCCTCAAAGATTTTGTAAACACATCTGCTAATTGCTCATTAGAGGGTACAAAGCTAGTTTTAATTTCACCAGCAAGAACCTTTTCTCGAACAAAGTGACAATCTATTTCTATATGCTTGGTTCTTTCATGAAGCACTGGATTTGATGAAATATGTAGAGCTGCTTGATTATCACAAATAAGAGTTGCATGTCCAGTATCTCCAAACTTAAGCTCTCTGAGAAGCTGTTTAAGCTAGATGAGCTCGCAAGTAGTAGTCGCCATAGAGCGGTATTCTGCTTCAACACTTGATCTGGCAACTACGCTTTGTTTCTTACTTTTCCAGGAAATCAAGTTACCACCAACAAAGACACAATACCCAGAAGTAGATCTCCTATCAGTTGGACAACCAGCCCAATCAGCATCACAGTACCCAACAACTTTATCATGACCTTTATCTTCATATTCAAGGCCTTTACTTGGAGATGCCTTGATATACTTAAGGATACGGATGACTGCATTCCAATGTTCTTGACATGGAGAGTTGAGAAATTGACTGACAACACTAACTGCAAAGGAAATATCAGGCCGAGTGACTGTGAGGTAGTTCAATTTTCCAACCAATCTTCTATACTGCTCAGGATCTGAAAAGGGCTTCCCCTGATTTGGTAGAAGCATGATACTTGGATCCATAGGAGTATCAACAGACTTTGAATTCAACAGAGCAGTTTCTTCAAGAATATTCAGAGCATATTTCCTCTGAGATATCACAACACCAATTTTAGATTGGGCCACCTCGATTCCCAAGAAGTATCGAAGTTTCCCAAGATCCTTAGTCTGAAAATGATGACATAAATGTTGTTTCAATTGAGTGATCCCATGTTGATCACTGCCTGTGATGACAATATCATCCACATATACCACCAGATAAATAGATCCAGAAGCAGAATGACGATAAAAGAGAGAGTGACCAGCTGAACTCCGAGTCATGCCAAATTGTTGAACAACACTGCTAAATTTACCAAACCAAGCTCTTGGAGATTGTTTGAGGCCATAGAGAGACTTACGAAGACGACAAACAAGACCAGACTCCCCCTGAGCAACAAATCCAGGAGGTTGCTCCATATAAATTTCTTCCTCAAGATCTCCATGAAGAAAAGCATTCTTGATATCCAGTTGGTAGAGAGGCCAATGAAGAATAGCAGCCATGGCAATAAAAAGGCGAACAGTAGACATTTTCGCCACAGGAGAAAAAGTATCAATAAAATCCAAGCCAAAGACTGAGTGAAACCCTTCGCCACCAAGCGAGCTTTAAGACGATCCACTTGACCATCAGGTCCAACCTTAACAGCATAAATCCATCTGCAACCAACCACAAATTTTCCAGAAGGTATAGGCACCAGATCCCATGTGCCATTATGATGAAGAGAACTCATCAATCATAGCTTGTCTTCATCCCGAATGTGAAAGTGCATCACCTGTAGTCTTAGGAACAGATACAGAGGACAAAGAGGAAAGGCAAGCAAAATATGATGGAGAAAGACGATGGTAACTAATATTGACTATATACCTGGCCGGAGGGCGAGTATCACGAGTACCCTTACGAAGAGCAATGGGAAGGTCACTATCCGAAGGTGGGACCGAAGCCGTGAGAGGAGATGCAGGTGAATGTGAGTCCACAGAGACATCTGACGAACTATGCTCGATCTCATCAGCAGAAGAGGTGATAGAAGGAGAGTCAGAAGCGTGGACGGGCAAAGACGGAAGGTAAAGAAAGTCACCTGGGAAGGATGACTGTACAGAATCAGTGTCCACAGGAGTAGTAGAGGATCCAAAGAAGGGAACTGATTCAAAAAAGGAGACATCCGCCGAGATAAAGTATCGACGTAAAGTGGGAGAGTAGTAACGGTAACCCTTCTGAGACCGAGGGTAACCCAGAAAAACACATTTATCAGATTTGGGAGCTAATTTATCCAAACCTAGACCAAGATGATGAACAAAACACGTAGAACCAAACACATGTGGAGTTAAAGGATATAAAGCCTGATGGGGAAATAAAATAGAGTGAGGTACCTTATGATTTAGAACAGATGATGGCATGCGATTAATGAGATAACATGCAGTAAGTACAGCATCACCCCAGAAGGTGTATGGAACATTACCATCAATTAACAAGGCACGAGTGGTTTCAACCAGATGGCGATTCTTACGCTCGGCTACACCATTTTGTTGAGGTGTATGAGGGCAAGATGTTTGATGAAGAATGCCATGAGATGAAAAGAAATGTTGAAATTGATGAGATAAGTACTCACATGCATTATCACTACGAAAAGTACGAATAGGAATACCAAACTGAGTTTTTATTTCATTATAAAATAACTGAAAAATAGAAAACAACTCAGACCTCTTTTTCATTAAAAATAACCAAGTACATCTAGAATAATCATCAATAAAAGTAACAAAGTACTTAAAACCCAAAGTAGAAGACTGACGACTTGGTCCCCAAACATCAGAGTGGACCACAGAAAAAGGAGAAACAGCTTGACGACTAAGACGACTTGGAAACGCACTACGAGTATGTTTCCCAAACTGACAAGACTCACAATTTAAAGTAGAAATAGACGATAAATGGGGAACCATCTTCTGAAGCTTTGCAAGACTAGGATGGCCCAGACGAGCATGGATAGTAAGAGGAGAATCCACAAAGGAGCAAGCTGAAGAAGAGGGAACTAGTTGATAGAGGCCCTGAGACTCACATCCTTTGGTAATCTCCTTCCCCGAACTCTAATCCTGAAAGATGACAGAGGTTTTAGTAAAAGAAACAACACAGTCAATGGATTTGGTCAAACGACTAACAGAAAGTAAGTTAAAAGGAGAATCGGGCACATATAGAACATGATCCAGAGATAAATTGGGTAAAAGAAGAACCGTGCCAATCCCCCTTGATTGGACCAGAGACCCATTGGCCATAGTAATCGTTGGAAAAGAACCAGTAGTACAAAGGGAAGTGAATAAGGACTAATTACAATACAAGAAATATGATCAGAAGCCCCAGAATCAAGAGTCCAAGGGCCTATAGAGTGCAACTGAGAGATGCCAGCAAAAGAATTACCAGAGGGAGCAATGGATGCAGTGGGACCTGATGTTTGCTTCTCAGGCCACCAAGTCACAAATTCATTCAGAAGAGCAGCTGAAGGTTGTGCACTGGAAGGTAACTCTGAAGCAGAGGTACTAGAGAAAGCCTGAGCAACATGAGCATTCCGAGGAGGTGGAGGTGGCCTGCCATGAAGCTTCCAACAGCGGTCAACAGTACGATTGGTCTGATGACAATGAGTGCATAAGAGCTTTCCTTTAGAGAATCGACGTCCACGACCATACCCTTGAGCAGCAACACCGGAAGAGTCAACAGAATCTTCTCGACGTCCACGACTATATCCTTCACCAGCAAAAGCGGAAGAGACAACAGAATCTTCTCTACGTCCACGACCATACCCATGAGCAGCAAGAGCGGAAGAGTCAACAGAATCCATTGGGGGCATAGGCATCATAGGAGGTGCTGATGACGGAGAGGGCTTAGAGGGAATTCTAAGCAAGGTAGACATCACGGAATCCAGTGTAGGAACTGTAGCAGATCCTAAAATTTGATCCCGATTGGCAGAAAAATGGTCAGGCAAACCATATAAAATGAACAGCATAAACAGTGTATTACGCTGTTCCTATTCCTTAGAAACATCACCAGTGAGAGGCAGAAGTTCATTAAGATCATGCAGTAGACTCTGAGCTTTCCCCAAATATTCAGTCATAGGACAATTGAAGTCTCGAGGAGCAAAGGTAGTCATCAATTTCTGACACACACCATAGAGTCTCTGGGTATCATTGGTGTACAGTGCTTTTGCCTGACTCCAAATAGCTTCACAAGTAACAGCAGGTCGAAAGATCTGTTTGATAGACGGATGAAGAGTAGCTTTAATGAGACTACACAACTGAGCATCAATCATCTTCCACCGTGTGCGCTCCTTTTCTGCCACAGATTCAGCCTTAGTGGTGAGATGGGATGTATAATTCTGCCCATCCAACCAATGTTGCAGATCGGAAGACCAAATATCATAGTTGGACCCATCCAATTTATCCACACTCAACGGAGCAAGAATATAATTGGAAAAAATAGTAGACTCCGACTTTTGTCCAGCCGGAGTCCCAGGACCAGAAACATTGGATAGAGGAGAGTCCATAATCAAAGAAAAATCAGAAAGAACAGATCGTACAACTAACCGGTAGAAGAGGGATCTGTGCGTCAACGCAAAAAGTGGTCAGAACAGGAAAACAAGACCGGATCCAGAAGCGTCTCAGCAAGACGAACAAGGCACAAAAAACCGCGGCCGGAAAAGATGTGTCACGCGCCTCCACGCGCCGCCAGTTGGAGGAGCGTGCTGAAACCTTGCACGCGCGCGTGAGAGCGCGTGGGAGGTCTTCTGGGGACGCGGCCGGTGCCGGAGTGATCGCGTTGACGAGACGATCACGACGGTGTGCTGCGTGCCCGAAAATGCCACCGGACGGTGATGGTTGACGGTACAGAAGCGTGAAAGGAGAAGAAAAATCGTCCGGAGACTGACAACGAGACAGTTCCGGAATTTTTTTTTGAAAATACGATGAACAGTGGGTTCACCGAGGAAAAAAAAATAAAAAAAATCAACATTCCTTAGGCTCTTGATACCATGTTGAATAACGAGAGAGAAGAGAGGAACATTGAAAATAATATTGTGTATATTGATATGAAGAAGCATTTACAATATATAGACACTCTAATACCTAATACAAAAGAAATAAGGAAACCCTAATTACATAAAAAATAAGGAAACCCTAATTATACAATATATTTCTAACACATACTATTAACCCTTAAAATCAAACACTTACAGAGTTCAATCACCATCTAAACACGGAGATGGTAAAACACCAATTGCGGAATAAAAAAGCAGCATTACCTTGATCAAGATGGTGTCGCCGCGAAAGAGCTGGAGCTTCTCCATGGTATCCGGGTGAAGAGCGACGACAGAGTTGTCATCGTTGATTGCCTCGTCAACAACAAGCCGATTCGGCGCTTTCTTGCGCTCCAAAATCGCAGTGCTGAAGTCCCGCTTCGGTCCCTTGCTGAAAAACAAAACAAACACAACGCAACACAACACAACACAACACAAAGGTACAATCAGTCTCGACGAAATCGAATTGAAAAAAAAAAAAATAACAAGAAGAAGAGCAGTTAACGAGAAAAGAAGGATCGCAGAAAAACGAAGATCTGGGAATGAGGAAAAGACGTACGAATCAGAGGATTCAGGAATGTTAGCCATAGTTGAAGAACAAGGTCTTTGGTCTTTTGGTCTTTGCTCTTTGGAGAAGAACAGAGACGTATGGATCTGAATGGGTGTGGGGGGTTTGGGTTGGTGTGGTGATATTTATAGGTGGGTTTGCTACGTTTCTTGTTAAGAAAGAAATACCTTCTTTTTTGTGTTTGTGTGTGTGTGTTTACTTCCTATTAAATTATCGAATCAAACTTATATCTGGTTGGGATTTATGGAATCAAACTTATGTTTGGTTTGGATATATTTCATAAAGAAATATATCCTACAAAATTTTGGATTAATGGATCTCGAAGGATTCTCTATTTAGATTTATCATATAAAATATTAACAAACTTGCTTTTTTTAAGCTAAAAGATAATTAATTTGTTTAAACGATTATCTGTTTATCTACAACCTATAAGATTACATGACTTAATGAATATATTTACTTTTTTTTTGGTAAACAATGAATATATTATTTAATTTGTTAAGATATGCGGGTTGTGATATATTTCATATATCCTAGCAAATCTTGGAGTTATGGATCTTGACAGGCATACTCGATTTCTATCTATGATTTGAAACATTAATAAATCGTAGGGCATGGTATGCATTGTTGTTAAAATCTCAATTTATCACTAAGATTTTATGTTTTTTTTCTTCATCAAAACGATTTTACTAATATTCCAAACGCTTTTACGTTTTTTATGATTTTTTACGATTATTTTACATTACGATTTTACGTTTTAAAATTTTTTATTTCTCTTCCGATTTTACTTAAGATCTCGATTTTAACAACATTGATTATAGGATAAAGCTTGATAGTATGAGATTCGATAGTATAAGGATTGACTAAATTTTAATATTATCCAGCGTTTAACGTGATATTGTATAAGATAATATATTGTAAAAGATAATATCATTTTATGTTTGGTAATGCACTGTATAATATTAGATAAGATAAAAATAAATACTTTTGACAAAAATACATTTTAATAATGAATTTATATAATTCTTCCAAATATATCAGATGATATTAATTTGTATAAAAATCTGTTGATCAGTGTGTCCAAAAAAATATATTAATTTCTATAAAAATAAAAATCTCCAATATTTTAAAAATTTATATATTGAAAAATTATTTTATTTTAATATATTAATATTAAATAATATATTATTTCTTGAGAATTGCATTGGTTAATATATCAATTTGTCAGGCCTAATCCTACCCTCGTAGGATTGATTAAGTTATATATCATTTTGATGTATAAAGGGATCATGTTATATAAGTTTATATTTAGGGGTGAAAATGGGTTAGGTCGGCATATGACCTAGCCTATATTGGGCCAGACTTAACCTATTATAAATAGGAAATAGAATAGGTCTAGGCTTTTAAAAAAATTTATTTAGAAAATGGACCATAACCTTTTTTGTACTTGTCGGGCTTGTAAGCCTACAGGCGGCCTATATCATATTATTTATTTTAAATAAAACTATTATTTTAATAATTTTGAATAATAAAGTAATATTATGTCAGTTATTCTTTTACTTGTTGAATGTTTAATAAGTTTAAACAGGTTAATGGGCTAGACCAAGACTTTATTTTTAAAATATAGATCAACTTAGACTTGTAATTTGTGGACTAAATAGGCCAGACTAGATCCAATATTTTTTACACAGACCTGACCTATTTAAGACAAAGTCTAACCTAGCTTAGCCTATTTACACTCCTATTTATACTATACGATGGTCACACAAAATAACTAAAAATATCATAACATATAGTACAAACTTATACTATCAAGCCTTATATATTACATCAAACAATCGTTATTCTTTTTATGCTAAACGATAATTAATAATTGCATGAGACCTATTACAATTTACAGACTTATAATAGGCTAAATTAAAATTATAATTTAACATGCATCATATTAATAGATCAGACTAACTCAAAATATTTTATATAGATTTAGTTTATTTAGGTAAAATTCTGACCTACCTAATTTATTTACATGACTAGCTACAACAATGCAACTGCTTCAAGTTTCTTGACCTTTGCTATTTGAAATATAGTGTTTTCAATTTTATGTCAATCAGTAATCACTAACAAGACCATATGATAAGTAGATAAGGGTTTATTGGATTAAATTTTGTGTGAATCGATACTAAGTTATTCTTATATACGATTTTAAGGGAATATCCCCAATATGAAATAGGTGCATTTTTTTCCCAAGTGCATCCTTTAAGATTTGAACATGAATAATCTCCTCTGCTTATTGGGAGTAAATCATCTCATGTCTCACTTAAATATCAACATATCATATAAAATATCTCAATCATCCATAATTTTGAATCATAACAATCAACTTCAAGTTAGAACTAATTTTGATTAACCTTAATAGCATGTGTATACTTATTATAATTACTATATTTTTTAAAAGAAAAAGAGGAAATGACAATTTATTTGTTATCTTGCTGTTGATCATTAATTTGTCATTAAAAATTACATGGTTGAGATCTTCTTATATGAAGAAGTGGTCATATTAAAATAAGATATGGAAAAAAAAATCATTTGTTATTCTAATTTAGATGCTCTCATATCTCATTTAACATGAACATGTAATTGGGATGATTTTAGTTGTTCATATACAAATCAAAAGTGATTTAAGATAGAAAATGAGCAAGTCATATAAAATGAAACATAAGATGATTTACTCCCAATTTCATTTGAACAAATTTTTTACTTAAAAAATTATAATAATTTCTCCTACAATCTATAAGTTTTGAAATTAATTCTGATTAATTAATGGTTATATATAAAAAATTATATACTATCATTAAATGACAATGGTAATAGTTAGGCGAGAGATAAACTCTTTTAACTGTATATGCTAAATAGTTTAATATTCATGTTATATGCAAAACAATATAAAATATAATTTTAGTTAGATTTAATATTTTATACATAGTTCTTTTAAAAAAAAAAGTTCTATACATAATTATTTATAGAAGCTAGATAGTTTTAATTAAAATTTGAAAGTTAAAATTTAATTCACAAATACTAAATAGCAAACATTTGAATTAATTCAATGTTTGAAAAGTGGTAATTCTAAATTTACCACTGCTAAAAAGAATAAAACATATCTTATCACTTAGCTGAAATAACATTTTATTTTTCTTTAAAATTAGAACATACAACAAATAAAGATTAAATGATAACATAGTTATATTAATAGAGTATATACTGGAATTAAATAATTTATACACGAGTGATACATAACATTAATCTCATTTGCATGGAATATATACAGACAAATATATCAATGCATAGCTATGATTGGTATCGTATTGGATAATATTGAAATACTTTGGAAAGTGTGAATTAAAACTAAATAAATCTTAAATTGAATTGGCTTTGTAATTTGTAGTTTTTAACTTTTATTAATTTATAGGAACATATATGTATGGGTAAAATTGGAATTTGGTGTTTGTGGTTGGCTTAACTGGTGACTACAGACGCAACCTCAAATTCTAGGATCTTTTGCCGTCGAAGACAAAAGACAAAGACAATCTTCATTCTAACAAAATGGGTCTAGGTTTAACTGTTGGAGTTATCGGGCTTCTGATTCTATTTCACGCCGCATATTCAACCATCCGATGTATCCAAAAACTGATTCTTAATACTTATGCATTTGAACTGTGAGTTTCATGATTTTTCTTTGATCTGAAATCGGGTCTGATTTCGTTGCAGATAGGGGCTTGTTGAAGATTACAGAGGAAGAATTTTCAGGAGCACCATTCAATGTAATTAATGTTGCAAACTTGGGTTTGGTTGATTTTATGTTAGTGTTTGTGTACCTAATAAGGTTTTGGGAATACAGGTGGTGATTGAGCTGTCTCTTGGATTACTGCTTTGTTTGTGGGCTGCACTCACTGTGCCAGGGAATTTCTTGTCCATACACCCAGATTCTGAAGAGAACAGGTAACTTGTTCTTTTTCACTTTCAATGCTTGATTCTATTGAATTAGTTTCACCTTTGCTATCTTACCTATTATTGTTAGCTAGAGCCTGTAGGTAATTGTAAACTCATAGAAAGTTGTCTCTAAGAAAATCTATGATATATAATTCCTTGACACTGGGAGTGAAATCTAGTGATATTTGTCAAGTGTGAATTGTATGTATTGATAGAATTTCTGTCTTGTTGCTGGTCTTGTCTCGTGATCTTGATGCTTTATGTTGAGATATATAGTCCCGCATTGGTTGTATGAGCAACTAATGTGGAGTTTATAAGGCTTTGGGCACTCCCACCCCTTGAGCTAGCTTTTGGGGTGGTGTATCCCAAGGTTCTTTATATGGTATCAGAGTCTCACCGTCTCCCACTTTAATGTGGAATTAAAAACAAAAAAGCACAAAAGGTAAACCAAAAATTGGGCTTGTGCATAATCCACGCTTCAAGCCCAAAGGGCTCTTGTGTAAGGGGGCGTGTTGAGATATATAGTCCCACATTGGTTGTATGAGCAACTAATGTGGAGTTTATAAGGCTTTGGGCACTCCCACCCATTGAGCTAGCTTTTGGGGTGGTGTATCCCAAGGTTCTTTACACTTTACTTGGCAAAGAAGACTGAAATAGTCGAGGAATGCAGATAGAGAAAGTTACAGGGGCTAGAAATAGAGTAACGAATGGTGAATCTAAACCGAGGAGACTAATTCTGAAATAGCATCTCTTGACCAGTTAGGTTTTGCTATAGTTGTATGCTGTTGGGTTGCTCTTGTTCTATGTACTTGAGTGTACTTGTTTGGATAAGTGGTGATGAATGGTTTTTTAGGAGCACTAATTTTAGAAAAATTATTTTGGAAGATTGAGTTTTATAATTTATGTTAGAGGAATTATGTTTTTCAAATGGGTTGTGAAACAAGTGAGCTTTGAGATAGTTCCCAAAATGCACTATACCCGCCTTAAGTTGCTCATATTGGGTATTGGTCCTTTTATGCTTAGTCTACCTTGAAAAGTTGAATCCTTGATACTGTTCTGTTGTTTTATTTGTTGGTAATTTTGTCTTAGAACATACTTGACAGAGAGGAGTGAAGCTATACAGTAATACAGCAATAGAAATGGAGAAGGTGTTTACGTTAGGAGGGAGCAGAAAAAGTTTCAGTTTCACCTTATGCATTACTAGTGAGATGTTAAAAGCAAGAAATATTCAAAATCAACTTTATTCCACCTTACTTGTGGGGAGTTTGAAAACACATGGACATAGTATTTCTAGGCAAGAAATAAGAATAACTAGCAAATATTTATTCTTTTAGGGCTAAAATGAACATCTCATGTTCAGTGAATAAGATTGGGCAATTTGGATTTCTGTATTATATTTTTGTTTAATTTCTGTTGCTTCTTTTCATCTCAAACCAGAGGCATAATTTTACATTCTGATTAATTAATTCAGTTTTTCCATTGTGATTTTTCCTGTCTTATCTATACCAAGCAAATCCATGATTTTGTATCATGCTATATGAAGTTGATGCCTTCCTTGTTGGTTTTGAATGGAGATTCCAGTAGGTATTTTCTAGATGGATAAACCTGACTAAATAATTGTTGATATGTATTCAACTATTCATTGTACTGGCAAGGGTCCGTTAATTTGCTACAGGCCATTTAAGTTACTTTTTTATTTATAGGCAGCTGGGTTTGATTTGAGTAATATGCTCAGGATTGACATTCTTCGTCAAAAGGAAAAGGGTCAAAGGAAATTTTATGCTGTTCCTCAGCTGAGACTTTATTCATGCTTCAGCCGATCAGCCATTGAACACCCCACTTAAACTTACTAACATGCTTTATGTTATTGTGAAAGTTCTTACACCAATTTCTATCACTTTTTGGACACCATTTTTACTCCTATCTTGTTATTATTGGATCTTTTGTTATTACTGTTGATTTAATACATAAAAAATGAGTGTTTAAGTGAGGTTTAATGAGAAAGTATTATATATCAATGTTGTTCATGTATCATGAATATATGGTTAAATTAATCTGTAGGTTTTAAATAGGTCCCTATAGTTTCAATTTTTTTTTAATGGATTCACTTAATCCAGCCTACTGTTAGAGCTTACCCAATTAATTTTTTTTTTTTTTAAACTATAGGTTTCATTTATAATTTAAAGGGACCTATTTGAAAATTCCTAAAACATACGGGGGCTTACATATTAAATTTAAAGGGACTTATTTGAAATTTTCTGTTTGCAAAACTTTATAATTTCTGTCTTTGGTTGTACTGTGCTCCTTGTTGAGGGACTTCATAATATAATAATTTACTCCAACTCTACTGGCAAATATCCCTTGTTATGGAATTATTTGGATCCCAATCACCAGAGTTTGTCTCCTTGGATGCAGGATTGTTTCTTTACCTGCCAACCTAGACTTCATGATCTTCAACCACCGAGGCAAGGTCTTTCCTGTGGAAATGGATGTGAAGCTGAGACGCTGAAGACTTTTGGATCAAGTGCCTTCATCCCTTATATGAGGGATAAATATCTATTCTCTGGAAAATTAAAGAATTTGGATGTGCATTTGATATCACTGTTGGTTGGTGTAAGTTTTTGCAGTTTCCTTTTGTACCTTATACTTTCTGTACTGGCCACTTGCCCGAGTAATTTTGACAGGATATTATTACTCGAGTCATTTATGAAGTAGCTTGCACTTTAACCATACTTTCATAAGTGATTTGCACTTTAACCATACTCACCAGCTAATACAATGGACCTAAAAGAAAGATTTCCAATTTTCGCTGCAGCAGCCTGATTATTCATTGCAATCCTCAATTAATCATGTGTGCTGGTAGCATTATAAGGATTGATTTCCCTTCCCGCTTACATCACATGACTTAAGTTTATCTGACTTTGCCTGCAATAGTAAAGTTTATCTCGGTAGTTGGGGCTGTGATTTGGTCATGAAGATAAACGTTGATAAATGCCAGTATTATGCCTGAAACTTCATTGCAAGTGGGTTTCAAAACATAATGACCAACCATACTCTTGCTGTTACATAATTGATGGATATATATAAAATAATCGTGGAACCTACATCAAGTTATATCTTGCCACATGCAACTGACAAATTTCTACCTGATTAGTAAAGAACTTATTGACAAGTATCCAAGTTTCCCCTCACTGCCATTCACATAAACTGCAGAATGTGTGGCAGGTCCACCCTTTCCCACTTGTGATACTGCCTATCCTTTTTCTTTTTCCAGTTATTTTGCACTTCTAAACAATCAGCTAGCAGGTTGCAGTGTGACGCTGCAAATTGCTTATACCCCCCCCACTCCATCATAAAATGAACATATCATGGCATAGGAGCAAAAAATTCAGTATATTAATGATACTTGAATTCATTGTATAAATACACTTGGCTAAATGCCTAAATGCAAATATAACCTGCTGTGACCGATATGAGTGGGCATGCGCTGGGTTTCTACTTGTTTGAAAGGTCCTAGCTGTGCCAATATAAACCATGTTCCGTGATAGTGATGAAAAATATTAGAGAATGGAGTGAAAACTAGGAGGCGAAAAAACAGTTTTCTGGTCACTTAGTTAACGTTTTGCAAAATTACGCTACTTAATTAGTGCATGACTACTTAAGGAGTTTTGTAAATACGGCTTGTTCAATCCAAAAATACTTAAGCATAGTGCAAGGCTAAAGTTAGTGTGAACAAGCCAGAGTTGCTGCCTAAGGAGTTTTGTAAAGAGTACTGTATTGATGTTGTTGGGTTCCTCTCTGATGGACAGGTTGCACATCAACATGGTTTGTTAACATACAGTCTCTTACCCATGTAATGCAAAAAAAACATAGTCTCTTAAGTTGAGAAAAAATGTGATTTTGAATGGCGTCTTTGTTCAGCTGCTGGAAGTCTGGAACAGTTAAAGAGTTATGTGCTAAGATCCATCTAAGCAAGGAAGGTTGCTGGAATCACTTTGTTCAATTCGGTTTCTTATTGCATGTAACGTTATAAGTATAATTAACAAAATATTTTACATTGTACATAGAAGTGTTCGTGCTGGTTTTCAGTAGCGGACCCAGGAAATTATTTTTTATTTTTATGTCCGCACATTTAGTAGCGAGGGTTCGGGGGCAGCGGCCCCAAATTTTTTTTTTTTTGTAAAGAAAGTAACACTTGAACCCGCTCATAATCTAATTGCTTCCATAACAAGCTGCAGACAATAGTTTGACCAAATATTTCCACTCCTACGTCTTACCAATCCTCCAAAACAAATATGAGAATATACTCCAGTACATCCATACATCATCATTCTATTTTATAGTGGTGAATAAAAAAGTCAACACTACCTGTACAGAAGGCAATCAAAATCACAGCGAAGACCTCGTCTCTAGATATTAACTTATTTGAGAATGTCAAACCTGCAATCAATCTTCTCTTTTTATAAAAATGAAAAAAGAAACAAAGGATGAAGAGAGCATGAGAATGGATACGTGACAGGGGAGGAAGAATAAGTTTTCTCTCTAATCAATTTGCGTTGCTACGTTGTTTTAATCATCTCCGCACGTTGCTACGTTGCTAACTAATATAAGAATAAATATCATTTTTAGCCCCTAACAAAAAATTCGGTCCCCACTTTAGTTCATTATAAAAAAAAATTAGTCACCTAGTTCCTATGAAATTCAAAGTGGACCCATTTTGGTCTTTTTGAGGGACTAATGTAGGTATTTTTTGAATTTGTGAGAGACCACGATTTTAACTAAATTGATCCACTTTTAAATTTTTTAGTGACCTCGAGACTATTTTTTTTTTTGTAAGAGACTAAAATGGGAATCATATTTTTTGTTAGGAACTTAAAAGGATATTTATTACTAATATATATATTGAAGCAAGAGACAAATAAAGACATGTAACCAAGAAAAAAAAAACTGAAAAAAAAAAAATTTATGTCCGTACTTGCGGGCATTTGCCCGCAAGTGGGTTTGCCACTGCTTGTTTCCAAAAAAAATTGAAGTGTTAGTGCTTTGCTTTCTTAAACCTTCCTTCATTAAAGGATAAAACCAGTTGGACAGATAAAAAAATTCTACATTTGATATTTTTTAAATTACATACATCTTCCCTCTTGTTTACAAATTTTCACTGATTTTTTATTTTGATTTTTTCTTTTCCCAAACAAATACCTCCTCGTTTAGTTGAGTAATAAATTATGTACACCTTCGATTCAAAATAATAATAATAATAACTGACACACCTTCACTCTATACACGAACTTAAATTAGAGGACCCCTCTAATTTGAAATTATACAAAACACAAACCCCTTCAAACAAAAACTCAAATGAAGTGCAATTTGTTGTGGAAATGCTAAAATACCGTGCGAAGAGAGTTATTCATCCTTGTCAAGCCATTTGGTGTTGTTTTCTGTCCTCCAATTTTATTTTTATTCTTTTTGGAATTAACCCAATCCTAATTACATCTTTGAGACAAGTTGGCTCCCTCTATATTCCCACAAACTTGGACTCTTCTTTGAACTGACTATAAGACTATTCCGGAATGCGGGATGAGTCAGAGATGAAAATATTTAAATCTCTCTCAAAGGTGACATATAGGGATTGAACCGAAACTCTTTCCTTTCCACTAACTCAGCTTCTTTGATATCAACTAAGCTACCATCATTTGGTGTCATTCAATATTATTTTGAAAACCAATTCCTTTGCTCTGTGTGTTCTGTCATTCATTTTTTTGTCTTAAGCTTCTCGCGATCTACCCGGTGTATTCTGCAATCATCCATATTTTCTTAGGGGAAAAAATTGAGAGGAAAGTGTGTTTGTTAGTGTGATAGTTCTGCCTAATTGATAAGTTCTTTTAGTTATAGTTCTTTTTTTTTAATACAAAACAGTGGATATATCATGATTTTTCTAATATTTATATTAACATCTACATTTTATTTAAACTTTTGACGGTTGTGACATATGAAAATTGAAAGGAGGGAACCTATACGTAAAATTTGAGATCAAAGAGGCTGCAAAATATGTTTTTCTTCAAACCGAGAAGTGTGTTTAATTTAATTTTCTTTTTTAGATATACACACTTTTTTGCACACAAGTTTTTGTACATCATGAAAAATGAAAAGTAAATTGTAATTTTTAAACCAGTTATAATTTAGACAAACCTAAAAAACTCCGGTTTAGTTTGTTCAAAACAGTTTGATGAAAGAGTTGAAGTTTCTGAGAATATTCGAAGGCCAACTCGCTTTAAAGAAGTAATTAAGGTCAGTACAAAAAAAAAAATTGATTTCAGTTTTTTTCTTTCCACCATTTCATCAATTATTCAATTAATGTGATTGAGCATTGTGGGACCCATACATAAAGTCTCTCTCCCAATATATTTTTTTCATTTTGAGAACTTGAACTCAAGACTTCAATCTGATTGAGGAGAAGCAGCTCGAGGTTGATTTCATTTCTTTGATTCAATTGCAATTTTAAATGGCATATGCATTCATACATATTCCTTTTCACATGATAAAAACTGAATGTATCACTATCACCCTTCCTTTTGTTCTCCATGCCAAAACTCAGGTGCTAAAGGTGCTACATGAACATTTTGGCCTTGTACTCTAAAATATCTATACGAGCTGTCGTTTCAACACTTAAAATGGGGCAACCAGCAATCGTAAGTGCTATCGTTTTCTCCCGAAAAAGTATTTTGATGGATGCATATTGAGCATTATAGTCTTCAATTTATACATTAAGGACGGGACCTATGGGCTATCATTGCACGACCAAGATATATATGTTCGGAATAATACTAAAATTGTATAAGTGCATATGCAGATATACAACAAATAATACTATTCCTGCTCCATGCCATGCTTCCTAATTCCCATAATGCAAGCTGTGATAGTTGACATCATTATGCTAAGTACCAATATTAGCAAACTCTATGCCTAGCTAGTTCTCTAATCTTTGGATACAATGGTAGCACTGAAGTTTGAACCTATGACCTCATATAAATTATTTAAATCCCTCGTCACTAGAACATTTCTAGTGGCTTAATTAGTTGTCTAATTTGTTCAAAATTTTGAAATAATATTCTAGGTCAGCTACATATTAATATAACCTAGAGGGGCAGAATAAAAGTTGAATAATGGACAAGAAGATTGATTGCACTGCTGATGAAAACATTTCTAACACAATTACTAAATTGGTTCTGCCTGCTGATCCGGAGAACAAATGCATAGATTAACCTGTTTCTGCTTTTCTGCGAGCCTTGTTTGGAAAGACTTTTGTGTTAAGCTTATTCATTATAGCTATCTTGCACCTAACTATATTTTGAGCACATGACATGCCATCTATTCTTTAAGACGTTAGTTTAGCAATATGTCAATCCTGTTTTTGCTATCTTTTAAGGCAGTTGATGGAGTAATCCAAACACAACACTAATCTTGATAGAGAGATAGGAAATCTATAAAGACAGATGATTATTATTTCTTGAGACACTTGATTCAATGCTAGAGTCTCTTATACTAAAGTTAGAGTGACCCTTAATTGCGTAATGTCTTATTTTTAGGAATTAAATACAAAGTGCCTAGATACATCATTGAACAAGAAAATGGTTCGTAATTCCATACGACCAGAGCAATTATATACACGCACGGCTCTTCATTTTTTTTGTATATTATTATTACTTCTAACTTATAAGCTGGTAGTCCTGGAGGTTCGGTTCAACAAAGTACTTAC